ATCATCAGTGTTTTGCTGACATTTTCACTTATCTCCTTTCCTTTCCTTTCTGAAAAATGGATCTGGACAAAATATTAAACACTTTAATAGGTATTTGAAAGCTCCAAGAGATTTTTTTAAAATGTCCCTTCCACATTTTTTTTAAACCGGAGTATTTTAAAGCAAAGACTCATTTCATCATGAACATTTCTCTGATTGGAATGAAAAGGGTTTTGTGTGGCCCTGGTTTCTCTTTGTTTAGATCTGCTAGCACAGGAAGCATCGATAGAAAAGTGAGGCTAGGGGTGTATGGATAGAGGTCAGGCTAGAGGCCCAGGGGACGAAGGGCTATGTTCTTTGCAGGCTGTGCAATTTGTTTTGTTCTCAACCCAGGGCACTCCTTCGCTGAGACTCCTCGGGCCTCAACATTTATCCTTTTCTCAAATTCTGAAAATAAAATATCTGGCTTCCTCTTGCTAGAGACATCTGGGGAGTGTCACTTCTGAAACTATTTTTGTCATGAAAACATCACCCAAGTTGCTGGAAGTGATTTGGAAATTTTAAGGTTTTGAAAGCATCTGACTAGACTGGTGGCTGAGGCTGAGAGTGGCTAGAGGTTAATTGTTATGCAGGCCAGGCATTTCCCATCACAGTTCTGGCCCACGCCCCATGACCGACCCCACCTCATCTTCTTGCAGTTGACTGTTCTTAATGCTTTAGGCCAAGGATTACACCCAGGGCTGGTATGTGAAAGGTGGAAGAACAGGTGTGGAGAGCAGAAGCTGGTGGTGGTAAAGGGGGAGCTCAGTGGCTGGCTGTCCTTCCTTTAACCTGCACAGCCTAAATGTTCCTGGGCTCTGCTGGGATCCTGTGTTTGCTGAGGGGCTCCACAAGATAAGAGACAAATTCCTGACTTTCTGAGTCCCATGCAGGGTACCAGGGACCACGCGATATCAACTGGAATGTCTCCCAGGACGAGCCAGGAAAAGAATAATATAAGAAGCAAGTAGGGATTGTAGCTAAGGAGGAACCAGAGGGGTCTGGCAGTAGACCAGATCAAGGGCAGGAGGGGAGGCCATTGGGAACAGGTTGGGAAGGGGAGAATAAGGGGAAGGCTGGTGTTCAGACTGATGAGTATGAATGAGGTGAGGCTGGGGAGCCTGGCTTCCCTGCATGATGGTATACCCCCACCTTCCCTGGGCTCAGAAAACAGAACAGATGATGATGGACAAGACCCCATGGGGAGGTGGTGGGTTCATAATGTTAGGCAGGAAAGTAGATATGAGCAGGGTTGAAAGAGAATAAGGCCAGTAAAGCCCACACTAGAAGGGACTCAAAGAGTTAACCAGTTAAAAATAGACAGCTCAGAAGGCCAGGAGCAACTTGGCCTAGAAGTTTGAATACTCCCCAGATAAAGAAAAGTATCTCAGCATAGCCTATGTTTCACTGTGTCAATTAGAAAATACCATTGTAAGATTTACTTTAGCACCTGCTAAAAGGCCCAGCTTATTCAGGAAGAATTCTTTCTTAAAGCTAAGATTGCATTTTAATCAAATGGACACAGTGGCGCAGCCCATCTTGGAGGCAGGGCAGACAGTCTTGACTGATATGCTTCCAGACAGAAGCTATATCCTGGAAAGGAATCAAGGCAGTATATTTCTTGTGTTGTTAAAAAAGAAGAAAATGCCTTATCAAAGATGGACATTCTGAGACCATTTGGCAGGTCCACACCTGGCCCTTTGTCTCTTTCCTGAAAATCCTCAACTGCCTATAAAACCCCAGACCCTAAACCTTTCAGCAGGCTGCTCTCTCCGAGGTCGCTTGCACTTTCTAAGTGCATAGCCTTAAAAATTTATCTCAGCCTTTCAGTGCACCTCTTCTGTGAGGTAGCTCACACTCCCCTTTCTCCAAGTGTGCACTTGCTCTCTTTAAATAAAGCTTAAACCTTTCAGGGTGCCTCTCCTCCCTAAGGTGTCCCACTTTTTCTCTCTTTAAGGAACTTTAAATAAAACTTTTGCTCTGCTTAATTACTGTGCCTCTGCCCTTCAATTCTTTATTGCGGTGGGGACAAGAACCGAGGAAAATACACAATGTCCCCCCAACAATAACTCTGAGCTGTCTGGGCTCACAGCACTTCTGACACCAAATGTATGGGGGTTTTCCACACCAACAACCAGTTCTTCAACTCTCCCAGGCCAAATGGTGTCTTACAATTTAATTCAGTCTTGACACTAACTACCCAGAGTTAGTTTAAGGCTTCAGTCCCACAAGACTGCCCTTGCTTCAGATGCCAGTCACGAGTCCCAGGTTGCCACCAGTACTTCTTACCAACTGGCTATAAATTGGGGGTTCCCATGACTCCCTACTCAGATTGGAGTAGATTTGCTAGAACAGCTCACAAAACTCAGGGAAACACGTGTTACATTTACTGGCTTATTATTTACAGACTATTTACAGACATTTACAGACTTACATTTACAAACTATTATAAAGGATACAAATAAACAGCCAAGGGAAGAGGTATAGGGCAAGGACTAGGGTGCTTCTGTTCAGCAGAAAGACAGACATGAGCGGGGCGGGGAGAGAATAAAGGCAGTAAAGCCCACTGAAAGGGACTCAAAGAGTTAACCAGATAAAACCAGAAAGCCAGAGAGGACTCAGAGTTATTTAGTTACTTAGTTGAAGTTTCAAAAGCAGGGAGTGTCTTAGAATGTCCAGACATTCTGTGGATGAAAAACAATTCCCCAGATAAAGAATAGTATCAGAGCACAAATACTCCCCAGATAAAGAAATCAGAGCACAGCCCATGTCTTCATTGTACCAATTTGATCAGGCCTCCAAGGCCAAAGCCCGTCAATCAAGGACTTCTCTGCTCTGCCAAAAACCCCATAAAAAGAAGCTTCATAGTAAACAGCCTGCATGTCTAACTTTAGGCAGGCCTGCTCTGTTACTCTGTCACAGAGTATAATAATAAAACTTATTTTGCTTTCTTGACTTTGTTTTCAAATTGACTTCCCTGCGTTTCTGAACCAAATTCCTTCCCAACACCTCTGGGCTCTCTTTGGATGCACCACCCTTCCAGGACCTACAGATGCATTCACTAATCTGGAAGCCCAGCGAATCCTGTCATTTAGGGTTCTTTATGGAGGTTCCATTACTTAGGCATGGTTGAGTTAATCACTGGCTATTAGTGACTAAACCAATCTCCAGCCCCTCTCCAGTCCCTGGAGCTTGGCTTGCTGTTGATAGTTCCGACCATCCAATCATGACTTGGCCTTTCTGGAGGCCAGCACCCCCCCTGAAGCATCTAAGGATCCCCATTCACCAGTCATCTCATTAGCATATAAAATACACTCATGGCTCTGGAGGTTCCAAAGGTTTTTAGTAACTGTCAGGAACCAGGGACAAAGACCAAATATTTACTTATTAAATTATATCACAATATCCTTTAGCTCACCCCACTTTCTCCTACTGAGTGGTACTTGAGGTTTGATTGAGATTAAACAGGAAGAACTGAGAAAACAATGAAAGGCCTCAGGGACCTCCATCCCTGCTGCCCCGCCCTTGGGACCTGCCCTGCCCACAGTTCTCCTGGGTGGGACCCTAATGGAGAACGTGGCTGAGCCTGGGTTTCGTGAGGTGGGGGCCAGGAAAAGAGAGCAGACCAGAGGGGGATATTCCAGTCTTCAGAAAGGCTGCTTACGGATGCTGCCCTGGGTACTCTGATCCAAGGGTTCCGGACACAGAGAAAGGGATGTCCCTGCAGCACAGCAGGGACCAGCTCCTGCTCCCACACTGGATTGTCACCAAATCTCCAAGCTTACTGCACCTCTAGGCCCATGATGCACTGCTTCTCAGGGGCTTCTTAGAGGGCAAACACACTCCCACCGACAGAGGGCACTCCCACCATGCTCCATAGGGCCAACAGGAAGGATAAGTGCTTCCCAGGAAGGGTAAGTGCTGAGCCATCCCCAGCACGGACAATGGGGCCAAGAAGCCACACCCATTTATCCATCTACTCACGGCTTTGCTCATTCATTACTTTAGGGATGCTCAAGTGTTTGTTGAGTTCTTAGGCACGACTCACCTCTGGGCTCTGGGGCCTCCATGTACCCCTCCGCATTGCTCAGGGGCAGTGTGGCAGATCAGAACATCCTCTGAACCAGGACCCACGGACTCTTGTTCTTGTCCTGACTCTGCCATTTACTGTTCAGGTTCTCGACTGCCATAGCTGTAAAAAAGGGGCCAGTGATGCTGTCCGATTCGATCTGATGAGCACTGAGATAGGAGAATGCTGCATACCCCTTTGAGTGTTGTGCCCATGTGATTGACATCATTGTGATCTGCGCCTAATTCCCTTGTTGGGGCGAGGATCACGTGGAGGAGGAGGGCAGGCTGCTGTGTGAAGATGAACTAATATAGCCATATGTAAGGCTGATTTTTTACATATGTAAGCCATATGTAAGTGATGATTTTAAGGACAAAGTAATGGATACTGAGACCTTTTTAATTGACACACAAAAGAAGCCAGATCTCCTCTCTGAGAAACCAAGTATGAGAGTGGGAGCTACGATGGGGCCTTTTTCTTTACCACATAGTCATGAGGAAAGCAAAGCAAAGGAGAGTTAAGTTCTAGGAGTTAATAAAAATCTTCTCTCAGCTGTAAGGGCCCTTAGAAATGATCTTTCAACCTTCTTTTATAGATAGGAAACTGAGGCCCAGAGTAAGACAAGAATTGCCCAAATCACACAGTGAGTGCATGGCCTCAAGCCCAGGGGTGTTATGCAGTTCCCCATACTCGTTCCCAGCCAGGGCACAGTCAGGTTCCCCTTGCCGCCTGGCCCCCCACTCCTCTTCACTGACCACCTGGTCAAACTGCACCGTGCCACCTGGAATGCAAGCCGCTGGGTGATACAAATTCCCTGCACGCCTTGATGCCCATGTAGGTGGTAGACAGACACGTGATTAATTTCATCCTTAAGTTCAGACGTCATTTCAGAAATCAGAGACTGGTGTTACCTCCCGGTGCTGGGAATATAGATGATTTTTATTTTTTCCTTTATAATTTTCAGGGTTTTCCAAAGTTTTACAACAAACATCTATGACTTTATAAACCCCACTCCCTCCAAATCTTAAAAAAGAAGGAAATTGGAGGGTGGTGAGCTGCCCAGTTCTGAACTGAGGTCCATCAAGCAAGGCCAACCAGTATCTGTCACACCAGGCAGAGGTCCTGAAGGTCACCCCACTCTACGGCCTGCCACCCAATGCCACCCACCCAGGCAGTGTCATCCCCCTTCCTGCCTTTGCTCTCACCTGGCTCTGTTCCTCAAATGTCCTTTGCCCGTTACCATCACCAAATCGGACTCATTTTTCAGGGTCCCCCATCCATTCTGCCAGTTCTGTGAAGGTGTTTTAAAGCCCACCTTCCCCTCCTGAGACAAACATCTGTCTCCCTTCTCTGACCACTAGCAGCACTTCATTTGGATCTGTTTTATCATCCTTACCATCTGCCTTGTGCACCCCGCTCTGTCTCTTACTGGGCTGAGGCCTCCTTGGGAGAGGGAGCTGCATATGATTTATCTTTATGCTTCACTAATATCCTCAGTCTGGCATACAGTAGACTTCACATGAACGTTCAGGGAACTTAAATGAATTGAACACATAGACTCCTAAAGGAAGAATATTGTGATACATCAGTTTATGTCAGGATTCCTCAACCTCAGCACCCAAGTTGACATGTAGGGACAGGTGATTCTGTGTGGTAGAGAGCATCCCTGGCCTCTACCTACTAGATGTCAGTAGCTACCCCCAGTTGTGACAACCAAAAATTGGGACATTGCCGAATGTTCCCTGGGGGACAAAACTACCTCCTGCTGAGAACCACTGGCATATGGTTTATAAAGGGTTTTCATAAACAATCCCTGGGGTAGAAATTCCCATTTAATAGGTGAGCAAGGCAAGGCTCACAGAGAGGTTAGAGTTGCAACTGGGTCGTGCACATAGGTCCCCCATTCCAAGCCAGGGCTGATTCAGCGGCTCCCGAGGCCTCTCAAGACCAGCAAGGTTATTGCCTCTCCACTTTGGTGTGTCCCCTCCGCTCTCACCACCTTGTCCTGGGCCTACCCGGCCCCACCCCCCATGGCCTTGGCCAGGCTGTGACCCACTGGTTGACCCTACTGGTCCATGAAGACAGACCTCAGGTTGTGCCCCAACACACCCGTCACATCTTCTCCAGCACCCTGTGCTCCTCCCCATGCTTGAACACACTGATGGTGACATGACCCGTCTCAGAGCCATACTTGTTCTTGACAAAGACACCGTAGCGCCCGCTGTCCTCACTGTTGACCTTCTCGATGGTGATGGTGACCTCCGTCCCCTTCACCTCCAGGTGGTAGCGGTCAAGGAAGGTGACAGGCTGATCATTCTTCAGCCAGGAGATTTCAGGGGAGGGATCTCCTGAGATGACACAGGTCAGGCACAAGGTCTGTTTGAAAGGAAGGGAAGGGAATGCTCAGTGTCACCTCCTTGTAATAACCCTTGGCATTCACCTTCACTCCCCAGTACAAGTTGCTTCTTGTGATAAATTCATTATGTGTGTTTTACTGTAACCCGTAACAGCGTAACCTTAAAGGGAGAGACATTTTATTCTAACTCATGTCCTCCATCCTCAATTTTTGTGCAGGAATATTTAGTAGTTAGAACTTCAGCCCATTAACACTAGAAAGTATCTGCCCCAGAATGGCCTGGACTTTGCTTTATTGCTTTTTGTCATATATATTTTGTCATTGTGATTTTACTGTGCAAGTAAGACTCTATTGCTTTAATACAAAGATTTATAAATTGAGTTGGAGAAATTTCTTCTTTTTATTATATTCCCTATGCTGAACTTTGACCTTCATGACTAACTTTTAATTGGAAGTTTGTGCTTCTTTATCCCCTTCACCTATTTTTCCCATCCCCCAACATCCCTCCCCTATGTCAACCACCAGTCTGTTCTCTGTGGTTATGAGTCTATTTCTGTTCTGTTTGTTTGCTTATTTGTTTTGTTTTTTAGATTCCACATGTAATTGAAGCTCTAATACAGAGATCACCATTACAGTGTCATGGTCAAACACACAGTCTGGACCTGGGCTGCCTGGGTAGGAGTCTCAGTTCAGTCCCTTTAAACTATGTGACCTTAGGTAAGTCCCATAACCTTTCTGGGTCCTTAGTTTTCTCAGCTGTAAATGTGTCTGGTGATAATACCCTATTTCATGTGGTTGCCTTGATCATTAAACAAGCTAAAATATGTGCACAGATGGAATAGTGCCTTCAAGAAAGCACCATAAAAACATTAACAGCGTGGGAGTGCTGGCTATGGGCTGGAGTGGGTCTGTACCTTATCTTCCATGATTGTGGCCACATCTGGCAGGCCCCTCACCACTTTGGCACGATCTGGAAGGGAAAGACAAGACCCCCAGTGATGTTCTCCCATCAGCTGCTTCCCAGAAGCGGGTGCCACAGAGTTGAGGTTTATTTTTCAGCAATGCTTCTTTTTCTGTTCTCATCATTTGGGGTGGAAATCTTTCCATTTGTATCACATGTTTTCCTGCCTTCATAAACAAAAGATAGGGGATGTCATGTGTTCTTGTCCTTGACTTGAGGTCATCTTTATGATTGGTGGTACCTGGAGGTGACAGTGAGGTGCCCCTCCCCTCGAGAACCGGGAAAGAAGGGAAATGAGATTGTGCCCAGGCTTAAACCCACAAAATGCACACAACAGGTGTGATGAGCCAGTTAAGGAAAAACCCCAGGTTGGGGGGCAGGAAAAGCAGGATGCAGCTTTTGGGACACTAACTCTGGAGAAGGAGGGTACCTGGTGGTCACTGTAGGTGGGCAGGAAGAGATTATGGTTATAAATGATTAAGCAGAAAGCCAATGTATTCCTTATGCTACAATTGAGGCTGTGGGATCAAGATGGGTGGGCAGCCTGGACCCCCGAGCATGGATCCAGGAAGTGCAAAGAGTCCAAAGTAGATGGATGATGTCTGTCCTGGACATAAGGGGAGCATAGTCCTGATTTGGGGATGGGTGGGGGAGGCCCCAGAAATGTATGCTGTTGTGGGCAGGAATGTTTGTGGGGTTGTTGGCAGCTGGGTGAAATGATCCACTCCCCCGACTCCTGATTCACAAGTTCCAGTAACCATATTTTGGTGAATTCAGCTTCCCTCTGCTAGGGTCCTGGAAGAGGTGCCCTGTCCAGGGACAGAGCATTATGGATGGCAGGGGACATTCTTCTGGGCCAGTGATTAGATGGTGGTGTGAGGGGCTTGAGAGGGCCTCCATGAGTCAGCCGAGCAGGCAGGTCCCGGGCCAAGCTCCTCCCACCTGGGGGGTCACCCCCTGCAAGGGCTTCTCATGGTTGTTTAGATGCCCAGTTGCCCCCTTCCAGATTATAGTTAGGAGCACTGAGGCCTGCACTTCCTGCCAAGTGGGGACACTCAGGGGCACTGACATCATGGAGGGTGAACCATCCCCTCCCACAAATGCCCCAAGCTATCGGGGTTTTGGCTCTCTCCCGTTTCTCACAGTTGTTCGGTCTCCTTCCTTGGTGCCAAGTTGTAGGGGCTGCTTTGCTCTGCTGCCCGAAGTCTCTCATGGGAATTCCTGCTTCTGATCTGCTGGGTCGGTGAGCCCAGGAGGCCGGGCTCCTAGAACTGGGTGGTTTGGAATTGGCTGGGGGACACCTGATGAAGCTCAAGTGCATGGATGTGGCACCTGGGCTGCTCTGAGGCTGAGCCACATCTCTCAGGGTGTGGGGCTGTGCCCTGGACTAGACGAGGCCCCAGTGCCCTGAGAACCAGAACCAGCTTCAGCTTTGAAGTCGTCTCCTCCCCACACCTCACTCGGAAAGGCCAGCCTGGCCTCGTTCCTGTCTATCCCTGCCTGCTGGGTCCCACCTGGTGTAGCACCTGACTTGGTCTGCAGGCCTGCTCTGCACCAGGCCCATTCTGGATGCTCCCCACCCACAGGCTCAGGTATCCTCAACTCCTTGTACATCCGCACCATCCAGCAACTCTGTGACAGCCCAGAGCCACACAGACCGCTCGGGGACGGGAACTTCAGCAGCCTCCTAGGAGGCATGAGCTGCCCGGAAACTGGTCCCAGCTCAGAAAAGAAAACAACAGAAATATGGGTGGACTTACTCTTCTCAATGACGGCCAAGGCTCTGAAAAACAGGAAAGAAAAAATGGCTCAGGGCTCCATTTGTTAAAGGACAGTCTTGCGTGGGTCGGGGGTGAGAGGGTGGCAGGGAAGGATGGAGCCGGCCGGGTCTCCTTGGAAGGAAGGGGTCCTACGCACAGCTCATGCTATACCCCGAGGGGTCTATGAGTCACACGAGAACACAGATGGCACTCACTTCAGTCTCTGGTGCTCAGCCATGGCGTCGTCAAAAGCTGCAAGAAGGCAAAAGGGGAGGAGGAGGGGAGCATCAGGGTCTCTGCACCCCTGGCCCGCAGGCACAGGGCTTGGGGCTGGCTGTTCCTTCACTCCGCCCTCCCATTCCAGCCTTCTCTCGGGGCACTGCCAGGATTGGGTGGGGAGCCAGAAGTCCCCATAAAAGGCCATGGGATTTTCTAAGGTTTCTCTGTGGGCTGACAGGTGAACAGCTTACCTTGTCCCGAGAGGTCAGCTGAGAGCTGTCGGGTTTCCTGCCCAGCAGCTATCTCTAGGGTGTATTTGCCCTTGTCTGAGTCTTTGGGGTCCAGGATGTGGAGCCAGATCTCATCCAGGGTGGTGCCAGCCCTCAGCCGGTCACCACTCTCCAGGCGCTTCTCTCTGACGTGAGGGCCAGGAAGTGGTTAACAGGGCTCAGCCCATCAGTGCTGCCTGGCACAGGCTGTCTGTCTGCAGGTGTACAGGCACCTCTGCACACTGCCCCCGCCCCCGCCCGACTCCTCTCCTGGGCTCTTGCTTCCAGATCTGTGGGCTGAAGGTCATGACTGTCCATGCAACATGTCACAAAGATCCATCCACTCATCCATCCATCCATCCATCCATTCATTCATCCATCCATCCTTCCATCCATCCATCCATCCATCCATCCATCCATCCATCCATCCACCCATAATTCATTCATCAACTCTTGTGGGACATCAAGTGCATGCCAGTGCTGAGTGTTTCTGACAGGTCCTTTGGCTGGGACTTTGAGGAACCCGTGCTCCGCGGTCAGGGACCACCACCTCCCCCAACCTCAGGAGTCACTCCCTCTCCACCTCATTCTCCTCAACTTACACCCTCCCAGGGCTCCTCCCTACAACCCCCCTCTGCTGGACCTTAGAAACCATATAAACTCCTTCCCTTCTACTTAAATTTCATTCCTGGAGGCATCCTGCCCCTGTCCCCAGTGTAGTGTTATAGAAATGACTCCTCTGGGCCTAGATGCTCTGCTTGGGGAAAGAACCCTTGGCCCAGCTCTCACTCATTTGACAACTTAACCGAATCAGTACAGACTTCTCCACAAAATGGATGCAGTGATGTCTGCCCCACAAGGCTGAGGTGTTCAAATGATAAGAAGCACTGGGAAAATTCTGCACTCAAACTACCTGGGCCGCTGAGCTCTTGGCTGGGTGTCTGTGGAGGCCCTATTTCCCCTGCCTTCCAGCGCTGGCCCTCACTCAGTAACGAGCCCCACAGGGCCCTCTACCTCCACCTCTCCTCGCAGCCTGGCTGCCCGAGTTTGCTGTGGCTGCACAGACCCACAAGGGCACCACCAACCCAACTCATCTTCTGGTTATTTCCATTCCTGCATCCTGCCCTCCCCAGTTCCCAGATGATGCTCTACGACAATGATCCTTCTGTGATCATAGGTATTCTTGAAAAATGGTCCTACCGCCAGGGTTCCCACCTCCCTGGAGAACCTCCCTCCTGCACCCCTAACTGCTGTTCCCTATCCCCAGCTCCCTCTGTGGATGGCACAGCTGGTGGGAGACCCTGTCTCTGCCAGTCCCTTGGGACTGGGCCCCCTCCTGCCTGGCCAGGGCTCCAGGCGAGGCCAGCATACCTGTGGGACCAGGTGGTTTTCATGTACTGCATGTTACAGTACTTGACCTTGCTGAAGAGCCGGATCCCCTCCTCAGTTCCCTGGATTTTCAGGGGGGTTGCAGAGAGAGCTGGGGAGGCAGAGCAGAAGGTTAAGGCTCTTTGGGGAGCACATTTTGGGGCCATATCTGGGGGTGTGGTGGGGGGAATGCAGTGCTGAGGGGCAGAAACTTCTCCCCCAGTCTTTGAGGTTGGAAACCCGACCCACCCCTGGTAGCTAAGGCTGTTGGAGGCCCCTGGAGACTATCTGGCCTCAAGGCAGGGCTGAGCAAAGAGGGGGGCTTGCTTACCACCAATCCTGCCCAGTTCAGTGAAGATGGCATCCAGGACTGGAAGGAGACAGAAAGAATGGTCAGCTGATGTAGGGCCCCCCTAGGGATGCACCAGGAGTGGGGACATCCTTGGGAGAGACTGGTGGGACAGACGAGCAGCTCTCAGGCATGAGGGGCTCTGCAGGAGGACTCCCGCAGCGTGTGGGAGTGGAGGGAGCTGGGCGCTCAGTGGCTAATGGAGCTGGAGGGCGCCACAGCTGGAGGACAGATAAGCTGACCTGACAGTTTTCTTGCAGGCTGGGCCAATGAGCCTGATGAGGAGCCTGGGGCCCAGGGTGGGGCAAAGGGGTGAACTCAGGCTTTAGGTCTTGAAGCCTAGGTTCACTGTAGTGTATTAAGTGAACATGGGCATCAGTGTTGTGGACCAAGCCCCTGCCACTGACTAGCTGTGCAGCAATGGGCAGTTCACTTAACCTCTCTGTGTCCCAGTTGTCCCAGGTGACATGGGCATCCCACAGGTTTTTCCCCGTAGGTCACAACACAGTGTCTTGGTTCAGGGTGACCCCCTCGGCCTCCTGGCCTGTCTCGAACCTCACCAGCACCTACCTTCACCTGTGAGGTCCAGCATGGTGTCATCCTCCCCTCGACTGTCAGAAACTGTCGCTCTGTAAATCCCCCTGTCCTCCTTGGACAGCTGGAAAGGAGGGTGAGTGACGGTGGGGCAGCACGGGCTCCAGAAGGAGCGGCGGGCAATAGCTCAGCCTGGGCTCCGGGCTTGCCCCCAACTCTGTGCGGCCTCAGGCAAGACCCTCTCTCCCCTGGGCCTCCGTTTACCCATCTAGAATGGGTAGGGCTCCTTTCACCTCCAGAGCCTTTTGATTCCAAGCTCAGGATTTGTTTGGGCCTGGGCCTGGCAGGGGAGGGCGGGCTGGGGTGGGGGAGTGCGGGCAGACACAGACACCCCACATCTGCACTTCAGGGAGCTGCTCTGCGCTGAGCACAGGGAGCCTCCCTCGTGGATTACACACCCTCCACCCGAGCTGCCCTGGGACGAGGGACCCCTCCACACTTCTCTAGAAGTAGGCATGTTTTCTTTTGCCCAGGACGAAGGGGGTCCTTTCTAGAACATGCTTGTCAACCCCAAATGAAGCCTGAACCATCACTCAGCAAAGCAAGAACTTGGGATGTGCTTTGGAAGCAAAGTCCAGAGGCCAGAAGTGGCCTCTCCTTACTCAGTGTCTCCTTCAGGGCCTGGGAGTGCTGTCTGCCTGCCCCCCCTACACCCTCCATCCCCTCAAAAAGCCCCTCCCACCCCAACCGTCTCTACATAGTGTGTTTTGAGGCAGATTTGAGGCAGAGGTGGCTTTTAACCTGGGGATGGATGTGCTGAGCCCCAACAGTCCTTGCCTGTGTCTCCCTTACCCCCACGGAAGGCTTCAAAGTCCTAGCCAAACCCTGGGAAGGGCACCTGGAGTGAAATTTGACCCCACCCTCTAACCTTGTGTCTTTGTATTTAAACCATTTGAGCCTCAGTTTACTCATTGGTAACATGGGGGCACAGTCCTCTCCCTGGCTGTGTGCTGTAACTGCTGCCAGGATTCAGGGAGGTAACTCTTCAGAGGCCAGAAAGTTCTGCACCAACGGGTGGGATGAGTTTAACAAGACTCGGTAGCCATCAAGCACCTACTTGATTCCAAGCCCAGTGTGAGGAGCTTGCACTGTGGTGACAAAGGCCAACTTGGTATTGTCCTGGCCAGGATTTTAGAGAAGAACCTGAGATCATTATTTCCTTCCTACTCAGCAAACCTGCACTTGCTCCAGTCCTCCCTGGCGCCCAGGAAACCAGCAGCAGGAAAGAGAAACGCTGAATATTTGGGAACAAGCCTCGCGTTTCTATCTTAGCCAGGTCACACTCCTCTTAAGGCCATGGGGAGGACGTGGGTACGAGAACTCCAGGCCCGCTTTGCTTTGTCCAGACCTGCCCCACATGGAGGAAACCTTCCTGGCCTGGATCCTAGTCTCTTGAGCTCAGCAGGAAGAAATCTTTGCTTTCCTTCCTAACACGTAACCCGCTCCTGTTACAGATGGAAGCTGAGGTCATGGGGACAATGCCCAGCTGAAGGCCACGCATCCAGTGGCAGGGCCAAGACTGGAGTCCAAACAAAAGGTCCTGTCTTTACTTAAAATTTTGGTATTTCCTTCCCACCCTGCCCCCAGGGTCCTTTTTTTTTTTGGCATTAATTTTTATTTTTAAAAATTTGTATGAAATATTGTTTATCTTGATTACTGAGGTTTTAGTGTCCCCTTAGATTCTGGGCTCAAGGGGAGTGCCTCGCTTGCCTCACCCGTCCTGGGCCTGCGCCCCCTTTCCCCCCTCAGTGCCTGGAGGCTGTGTGAGTCCTGAGGCTGGAGTTGTACTTACCTCCTTGATGCAGAGAAGCCCTCCTCCAGTCTGTGGGTCGTATTGACCATTCGGTATCTCTTTCTTCTGGAAGAACCACTGGAATTGGGTTTCCTTCTTGGTGTTGGTCACCTGAGGAAGGTGGGAATGAGGACAGCCATCAGGCTTTCTTTTTTTAAGTCAAAACTCAGCTCATTAGAACTCTTTTTTCAAGTGTGACATCAACCCCCACTGCCCCTGTCTCCCATGTGTACGCACCCTCAGGCTAAGTCCTAAGTCTCAGCCACTCCTTCCTCACACTATTCCTTCTCTGAGCTTTTGCTAATGGTGTTCCTTGTGCCTCCTGATCCTTTCCCTACTGTTTTTCCTAGTAAATGCCTCTGCATCTTAAACACTCATGTTAGATGTCACTTCCTCCAGGAAGCCTTCCTGAAGTATCCCAGAGTGCCCCCCCCATCGCTATTAATCAATTTCTTGCAATGTCTTGTTCACAGCAGGAGGCATGCTGTCTTCCAATGATCCTGCCTCGTATGTACATGTGGGCTCCTAGAGGCCTACGGAGGCCACTTCTTCACCCTTGAATGCCCAGTACCTTGCCGAGTGTGTGGTGCATAGTTTGCTGCATGGATATGTTCCTGGAGGGTGCCCTCCCCCACCTTGCCCTTCCCACTTATCTAAAGAGGCTGCAGGCTCCTGAGAAGCGGCACCAGCTTTGGAGTCAGACTGTTACACCTGGGCTGAAGACCTCTTACCACCTCCTACTGTGTGGCCTGGAGCTATTTTTACAATTGTTTTCTCCTCCATAAAGTAAGGATAATTAATGCTTATCTTGTGGATGATTGTGAGGCAGAGGAAATAAAGAAATGCTCTGAAGCACTGAGCACAGAGTCTGGCAAGGCTACCATAAACACCAGGGAGTCCCCTCAACACAGAGACCCCTCACTTGCTCCCTGACGCCCTGGCCCCACAGAGCCCCTTCCTGGGGCAGCTGGGAGCCCTTGCTGAAGGCTGACCCAACTCTCGCTAATCCTGTTCCCTGGGCTCAGCGAGACACGGCTTTGTTTTCCAGGTAAATGCTGTCCCCGTGGGGCTGCTTCCCTTGGGTTTGCCCAAGCACCAGTATGGTACTTGGGGGCGTGGGGCAAGGACAGCCACCAGGCTTGGGGACAAGCCAAAGGTCTCGTCCCACGGGCTTGGGGGTTAGGGCTGGGGGCAGGGGCGGGGATTTGCCTTGCACGTCAGCAGCACTTCGCAGTCCTCCGTGACCTTCCACTGCAAGGGCTCCTCGAAATAGGGACCTGCCAGCACAAAACCAACGCACACACCGGTCAGAGCGCCAGGCTCAGCCAGGGCGCCACCTGGTGGTGAGACGGGAAGCCAGCTGGGGAGGGGGCTGCTAGCGACAGGCCCCTGACCGCTGATTGTTTCCCCACCGGGCAGCGACTGGGGTGAGAGGCAAGGGGGTGCTCACTCTCAGGGCTGGGCAAGTGCTGTTTTGCTCTGGAACTGGGACAAAACTGCCTCCCTCAGGGGTCCCGCAGGGCTGGGATCTACTAACCCTCCAGCCCAGCAGTGCCCCAGCGCTGCCCACCGGCCTGGTGGCTGAGGCTTTTGAACTTCACCCCAGCAGTTCTTACCCTGTTTCCTCTTCCAGTCTCTTCTCTTAGCATCTGCCATCCTCAGTAGTTTGTCAAAATCTGTGAACACATAGGGAGGAACTGGCGTGAGTCAAGAGGAGCTCAGGGCCGGAGAAGGGGCATCAGGCGGCACAGAGGACCCCAGGGCCGAGGCCGAGGTTGGGTGCGCAGGGTAGGAGAGGGCATGGCTGACCGTCGTCCACCAGTGCCAGGGTGATCTGGTTTTTGGCTTTTCCATCTTGGAGCTGAGCAGTATATGTCCCCTTGTCATCCTCAGTCAAGTGCTGGATGATCACTTCCACCAGGCCCTTCTCGCGGTCAAAATTGATTTTGCGGTTCTGGGAAGAACAAACCCTGAGTCATTTCTGCCCTTTTCCTATCCTAGGGAATTTGTGTTGGGGCACACGCTGGGGCATAGTTGGACTTGAAGGGTGATATGTGCAGAGTTAAAAGCCTTCAGAGTCTGAGGAGGGGGTCCTGGAGGTCCTTTTACCACCTAAATAGACTGGGGTCTGGCCCACGTGGCCCCTGGGAATACCTCTGGGGCCCAGCAGGCACAGGAAAGGGTCCTGGGTGCTAGAGTTAATTGCAATTAATAATAAGCCCGCGACCCCTACTGTGCCACATTTTTTGTTATTTTCTACTTCTATTTCTACATTCTTTGTTATCTTTCTACTTCTAATTCCTTCTATTAGAATCTAATAGAAAAAACATTCCTCATAAGGGTATAAAGGATAATAAAAAAGCCTGTGTGCTTTCTGCCCAGAATGAGCCCTCATTTACGTTGTGTTGTAATCCAACATTTTTTTTTAAGTTTTATTTTCCACACTTGGGACTGTATCCCCTCTGGCTTCTTTGTATGTACGATTTGAGGGAGCCACCTACTTTTATTCTTCTATAGGGACAACCGGTCGTTCCAATGCTGGGTATGAAGAAGTACAGACTTTGTAACACTTCCTCTACCACGTGCCAAGGTCACACTTCGTCTTTGTGCAGAGCTTTCAAGTCCATTTTCTCATTTGCTCCTCCTGATCCTGGATAACCCAGCCCCACTGTACAGATTGAGAAACTGAGGCACAGAGTGGGGAAGGGGCCAGCCCAAGGGCACACAACCCACAGCGGGTGAATTTGAGTCTCCTGACATCTTGCCCTCTTTTTCTCCTATGTCCGAACAGTCTTCCTTTCTATAACACATATTTTCTGGCCACTTTGTCGTCTGGAGATGAAATTCACAAATAATATGATTGCATGATTGAACCTCTCCTGAGATTAAAAATCGGCCTGTTTGTGAATAAGAACAGTTGAATGTGGGCAATTCATACGGTTCAATCGAATACAACCCACTTGCATGCATGACCTTTTAAAAAACCAATGTAATACCACAACTGCCATATGAAGAAGAGAGGACAGTGATAAGTATTTCAATAGCAGATGCTCAGGCACAGTCTGCATTGATTTATAGGGAATTGGTTTGAATGTAAAAGAATTAAGAAAAAAGATCAAAAGCCATTCTGTACAAGAACAGGAAAATTAATGACAGGGCACAGGTCAAGGGTCTAATAGAATGAAAACTGTCATTCACTATAATAAATCTACAAAAAACCTTTATATCTGAGTTAGAGTGTAGGCTTAGATAATTATAAGCATGAATATAGGTTTTTAATTTTAAGAGTGTCTGGAAGAACATTCAAAAGTTGTGGAAGGCGTGGGAAATCCTTTGTGGGAGTGTCCCTTGCGTTGGTGGGCATCTAGTTTCCCTGCCGCCCGCGCACAGGTACTAAAAGCCAGTGTCATACCTACTGCACCCCATCACGGAGCAGCTAGAGCATGTGGCCATTTCTGAAGCGTCCGCTAGGGGGCGGTGCCAGCCTGTGGAGAACCACTGCCTGGAGGGGCCCTGTCCTGGGCAGGGCGACCTCTCTTAGGAATTCTGAGCCCCAATTACCGGTGAGCTGAAGATCTCCTTCTCGTTGAAGATTAGATGCAGCTCAGCGGCTGGAGATAACTTTTCTACTTCCAGCCAAAGCCGCACCTCTCCTTGCTCTAGGACGTCAACGTTCCAGCCGGAGATGAGCTTGATCACTGGGAGGCAGAGGCCAGGCAGGGGTGGGTGGGCGTCCTTCTCCCTGCCCCGCCGCTCCCATCCAGCCCCACCCTGAGCTCCCCTTGGCATGTAACATGCGACATGCTTGAGAATCTGAAGGAAACACTTTGGGTGGGGGTCCGAGGAGGGTTTTCTGCATTCAGTCTAGATTGAATTCCTCTCAGGGAAACCTTTCCTCTTCCTACAGCTCTGGGGTCCTGGTTCTTGCCCTAGCTGGGCACTGCATCCCCACGGACTTTCAAAAACACAAATGTCCGGACTCCAGCTCCAGAGGTTCTGATGTCTCCGGGGTGTGCCCTGGGCACCAGGGTTTTGAAAAGCTCCCAGGGTGATTCCAATGTGCACCCAAATTTGTTGTGAGCCCTGCTCCACACTACTCCTGGCCCACGGAGGGAAGCAGAGGTTTAGAAGACCCCAAAGCCAGATGACTCAAGAGCCAGTAATAACAATTACAAGAAGAAACCCTCCTTGCACCCGCTCTCCACCCTGCTGGCTGCCCTTTGCCCTTTCTGGACTGCTGACTCCCTGGGCTCTGACCCTCCAGCCCCATCAAGCTCCCATCCTCTGCCCCCGGGCTAGTTTCTGTCTCTCAGACTGACTCAGCTCTGCCCTGAACACCCCAGCGGCCCTGGTGGGGGCTGCTTGGGCTGGTGGTCTGGGCTGCTTACCTGGGTTTCTGACCAGATTGCTCAACTTCTTCAGTTTGTCCAGCTCTGGGTCAGGGAGGAGCAAGGGAAAAACAAAAAAGAATGAAATACCCAGGCCAGCAGGGTCCATAGGAGCCCTCCTAGGGTCTTATGCTTGGTGAAGTCTGGAGAGACCCCCTCTCCACCTGGGGTCACTGGCTATGCAGAGGCTGAAGCTGAGTACTGTGGGCCTCAGCCCTAGGGCACTGAGGGGCACGCTTAAGGCTGCTGCAGGCTGCCCTGAGGTCAAGTGCTACCTCACCAGAGAAGAGCCTACTGTGTGCTAGGCCTTGCATTATCTCGGTATTCTTCACACAATGCTATGGCGTGAGCATTATTGCCCACCTCCAAGCAGCCCAAGCCTGCTGGCTCTTGAGCCCTACTGGAAGCCCACTGTGATATGTTGTCCCTGTCTTTGTGGGTCTGGCCCCCACACTGAGCACTTCAGTCCACAAGCCTCTCGGGCGGTTCTGCAGAGGGCTGTCTCATTGGCCAACTGCTTCTTTGTGTTCAGTTTGTCTCTCCTGGTAAGCTGAACTCTGACCTACATGAGTGTATAGAACACAGTAGGTGCTCAGTAAACACGCACTGCCTGAATAAATTGGCAGTGGCAGAGCCCATACTTCATGTTCCCGTGTAAGCCCCAGAGTCCTTAGTAATGATGAGTCTGGACTCTCGCAAGCATCCAGGCAAACAAAAACCTGTCCCTTTTATGGATGGCTTTAGTTTGCATTGAATCATCTAATTATATTGCATAGCATTGTTTCAGTTGAGGCAGCCAGGGATTAAAATCCCCTTTTTATAAATGAGGAAACTGAGGCCCAGAGAGGTAACATGACTTGCTCAAGAACAAAGAACCAGAAAATTGTGGAACTAGAATAGCAATCTGGGCCTGTCAGGCTTCTGCTTCTCAACAAAACTAAAGGCAATCAGCAGGGAAAACAATGGGCTGTCTCCCAGTTGCTATGGAAACAGCAGAGTGAGTCTTGTCACTCATCAGCATTTGTTTCAGTTCTGTTTAAATCATTAAAGGTGGATGACCCACTGGACACAGCCTCTACGCTCTGGTTAGCTGTGGCCAACCTGTCCTCACTGCTCACCATTGTCCTCATTCCTCAGACCAACTGCCATTTGCAATTTGTCATTACATTTGCACTGTTGTTTTTTTGAGGCTACAGAAGGAAGTGAAATAATTCTGGTGCCTTTGCATTTATCAAAAGTAGAAAAAGGAAAGAGAGACAGCAGAATGTGAATCATCAGGCAGGGATTTTTGCTTGCTGAGTTCTCTGACGTAATCCCCAGTGTTTAGGACAGGATCTGGCCTATGGTAGGTGCTCAACAGATATTTATTAATTGACTGGCAGACTGAATGAGTGGGTGTGGGCCTACTTCTCTGGAAATGGCTGGTTTACTAAGTTCTGCTGGTTCTTGCCTGTCTCTGGGGGCACTTGTGTTTGGGACTCTTAATCTGGGCCTGTCTCTCTGGGGAGATGGCAGTGGAGCCGAGGCATTACCTTCTTGGGTCAGAGTGTGGCTCGCTGAGATGTCTTCGTCAGCATCGGTGACCACCACCGAGTAGGTGCCCAAATCCTCAAGGCCAGGTTCTTTCAGGATGATCTTGGACCTGGCAGAGAGAGGAGAGCAGAGGCTCTGAAAGGGGCCTCATGTACCCCACTCCGGACCTGGGAGGCAGGGATACTCCCCAGGGTCCCCTGCTCAGGGCAGCTCTGCCCTGGCACCTTCAGTGGCCCCTTTAGCCAGGCTCTCTGTCACAAAGCCTGCTTGCTAGCCACACTGCCCCCAGGGTTCAAATCATCTGCTTTATTTCATCTGGACAGGGTTGCAGCCCCGGGTGCTGGGCAGGGAAGGAGGGAGACATGGAGGCATTCGGCAGGGACCCCTGTGGTCATCTGGACCCAACCCCTCTTTTTACAGATGAGGTCGTTGAGCCCAGAGAACCTGCAAGAGTGTGTCAGATGCCAACAGAGGCACACACAGTCACTTACATGAAAAGAATCTCCAAATGAATGTTGCTGTTTCAGCTCACCAAGTGCACTGTCCCTAAGGTGGCAGTCAGCACCCTCAGTGAGAGACCAAGCCGCCCCTCTCTAGCCCATTGTCTGTGAGTCCTGCTGGGTGGTCAACCCCACGAGCTTCTGCCGACCACCTGACAACACCTGGGACCTGCAGCCTAGCTGTGCACCCCCATCCCCTCACTTACTTGTTAACTTCCTCCTCGGTTTTGACTCTCTGGGGATCTGGTGGGCCCTTGTAGTCCTTGGACCACTGAAACTCCGAGGAGTCAGGGGCTTCGGGGGCTTCGAAAGCCAAGTAGATAAAGCCCTCTTCATCCACACCAACCTCAATCTCCCGGGCATCTGAGGGCAGGATCCAACGGAGGGCATCAGATGTTTAGAAATAACAAACTAGGCCATGCCTCTCCCCTGCTTAAACCCTCCGTAGGCTGCCCATAGCACATGAATAAAAGAATAAACCCAGACTCCCTGCTGTGGCCTCCAAGGGTTTGCATGATCCAACTCCTTCTCAGCTCAAATGTACCTCCTCAGAGAGGCCCTCCCTGACCACCCTGGCTGGTCCCCTCACCTCACCATATCACCCTGTTTCATTTCCTTTATAGCACTTATCAGCATCTTAAATCCTTTTTTCCCCTGCATAACTGCTTCCTTGTTTGCTGGCCATCCACCCTGCCCCTCCCGCACACCAGAGCAGGGACCTTGTTTTCTCCCAGCCCAAAACACCCATCACCAAATATTTGTTGAATGAATGAATAATTGAAAGAATGGAAGGAGAAGGTGCTTTATAGTTGAGAGCTGAGAGAGCCTGGAAGGCACTAGCTGCGTGGCTTGATCGTTTAACCTCTCTGAGCTACAATAAAATCAGTTCTAAGGGGGAGACAATGATCCCTCACTCAGGGGCTTGCTGGGAGGGCCAGGCCAGTGCGAGGACCTAGCACAGCATCTGGCAAGTGCGGCGGGAGGAGACCTCAGGAGTGTGACCACAAGACTGATAAAACCTCGTGTGGTATCTGAAATAGGGTTGGGTATTATTTTATATACCCACAAGGACTTGTATGAGTTTATGAATAAAGCATATGGAAGAATGGAAACCATCAAAGAGAAGGCAGAGCTATATCTGTATCTCAGGATCCCACAGCAATGGGTGGGAGTGGGGGTGGCGAGGCGGAAGGTGGGGCTGAGGGAATGTGAGAGGTCCCAGCAGGTCCTGTCTGGCTGCAGACCCTGTGCTTCCTCCTGTCGACTGACTCTACTCGGGGCTCTACCCATCCTGGCTGCACAGCCTGGCCATCGTGCGCTGGCACCCTCGGCCTGCCCGTACCTGGCTTGTCCTCCAGGAGTACAGGGTCAGTGGGCACGGATGGTTGGCCCAGACCCGCTGAGTTCATGGCCTGTACCTGGAACACATAGCTCTTCCCCGGCTGCAGGTCAGAAATCTGGGGGCGGGAAGTGATGGGGACAACAGTGAGCACTGAGGACAGCAGGCTCACCCTTCCCGCCCCCCTCGCCATTGGACTGAAGGGGACATGGGGAGAGAGAGAGCAAACAGACGCAAAAACCCATCTCTGGTTTCTAGAACACGAGCACAGGGCTCTCTGAAATTATAAGACATGAAAGTACAGCTTCGGTAAGGGGCTCTTGTACCCCCTGCAGATCTGCTGTCAGATCAGAATCGAGTGGCTCTTGAAAGCTCAGGTGCTGGCTGATTATTGGGGTGCCCAGCCCTCATATGCAGAAAGGAACAGGGGCCCATGCAGGAAAGACCATGGGCTTCTCTCTGGGCACTAATGGAACGCTAATGTGTGGTCCTGAAAACTGCATACCCTCCCCTCCACCTCCTGGAGAAGGACACCTCAGGAAGGTGAGTTGGAGAAAATACTCCCTGTTTCCCTAGAGCTACAGGAAAAAAAAAATCGAATCCACATCGTGGAACTGTCCTTTCAAACGTTTCTTACATGGAGGAGGCCTGTGAGATAGGTTTGCTTCAGAGGTGCTTGGTGAAAATGCCCTGTGACTTGGAAACCCGTGATCCTGATTGACCGGTTGTACATAACTTGTGTCTGCTCTGAATGCTTCAACTGAGTCTTCTGACATGAAACAAATGTGTGAGCTGCCTCCGTTATGCCAGGAGAGAATTGTTTATGCTTTCCTTTCTCCTCCATGTGTGGAAGTCCTAACAACCATGACAGGTGAAGAAAACCAATGATTCTGCTAGATTTCTCATTTATCCAAAGAGTTTAGGGTTTGTGCCTCATTTAAATTAAGAAACATCTATCTGCATGTATGTTCATTCATAGGTAACAGGTATGACATGATACACAGGTATGTTATCTAACATGTTACCTAAGAATCCCAGTCTGTATTATTCTTTTTTTTCTTAGCCACATATGATGGATATATTTCCATGTCAGTATATATATTCAGGCCTACCTTTGTTGTCTTTTAAACATCCACAGTCCCTATCCTAGTTAGTACTGGTTCCCCTTTAAGGACACACTGTGATTTATTTAAGCAAACCCTTACTTATGATGGGCATTTAAGTTGTTGGCAGCTTTTGCTTTTATAAGCAGCACTATACTGAGCACCACTGTCCTGAGGTCTTTGCACACTTGGCTCATTATTTCTCTACAATTCCATCTTAGAGGTAGAATTCCTGGCTGAAGGGACATGCATATCCAAATGCTGATATACCTGGCTGATTCAGAGTTTTTAGGGAGAAGTCTGCCTAGCACGGAGCAGGTTAAGACTGCCTGCCAGCTACACCTACTTCCAACTCGCTGTGTGACCCTGGGTCAGCTGCTCCCCTTTCTGGTTCTCAGCTGCCATTAAGTGAGGGCAATGATCTCTGAGCTCTGATACTCTGTAGTCCTGCCGTGTCCAGTGGCAGGGAAGGTTCAGGGTGGGTCAGAGGACTCTGGGCTGGGACTCACCCTCAGGTGGGTGCCAGAGACGGGGTCTGGAGTGACTGGCTTCCATTGCTCAGAGCCTTCCTCCCGGAAACTGATGCGGTAGCCTGTGACGGGCCCAGCCCCCGTGTACAGTGGGGGCTCCCACCTCAGCATCAGGGAAGTGGCCCGCACCTCAAACGCCCGCACATCATACGGGGGTCCTGTGGGACATGGGTAGAGAGGGGTTGGGCAACCAGGCAAGCAGCCAGGCAGCCAAATGGCCATCCAGACAGGTGGGTGGTGAGCTGGGCGGTTAGTCAGCAAGCTTGTCTATCTATCAGTCACAACCAGGCCTGGCAGCACCTTCTCTGGGCAGAGTGGGGACCAGCAGGCCTTGCGTTCATGACAGGCTTGGTCTGAGCCTGAAATAGGGTTAACTCTTCAACATGTGCCCAGCACCACTTCCTCCTGAAGCTTCCCTGATCCACCCACCCCTACCCCAGACAGCATTAACTCTTCTGATGCCTTTGCCATATCACCGTTTAGTGTAGGGGCTAAGGATGTGATCTCAGAGTCAGATCACGGGGATTCATGTCCCAGCTGAGGGTAGCCTTTCCGGCTATGAGAACTCTAGACAAGTTACTTAGCAGCTACATTCCTGTCTCCTTATCTGTAAAATGGGGATGATAATAGTTCTTATAATAGAGTGCTGTTGGGAGAATTAATGACATAACTTACAGAAAGTGTCAGTGCTTAGTAAATACCTAATGAATATTGTTTGTAATTGTCTAAAGCATCATGCATGCCAGTTATCTGCCATCAGTTAGAAGTTTTGTGTAGAAAACAGAACTGAGCTGAACAGAATGACGGAAGGTTGTGATCCTTCCTTCCTCGGGAGCAGCTGAGGGGCTCGTGGATGAGAAGGCCGGTGGGGTGGTGGGAGCAGTGTGTAGGGTGGTGGCCACCCGAGCAGAGTGCCTTTGGGGTCTGAGAGCGGTCTGTAGCCAGAAGCAGAGCTCAGATGTGTGCTGAGCTACGTCTTGTGCTGGGTGTACAGGTCAGCTGATGGCCAAGGTCAAGGGCCCTCTAAGGCGTGGTTATGACCGTCTGTGTCAGAGATTACGGGGTCAGTTGGTGGAAAGGGCCAGAGGCCTGAGGTCCTGCCCTACGAGAGCAAGCCTGATGCACAGATGGCTCCGGGGGTTCATTTCAGGGGTCAGATTCGGGGAAGGAGGGAAGGCGGGGCGGGTGCTGGGCTTCAGCGCCTCCAGGCTGCTCACCTGGCTGGGGCATTGTCCATTCTTTGCACTCAAATAGGCTGCTGGGCGCCGACAGCTCACCAACACCTGCCCAGTTGGCTGCCCGGGCACGGAACTCATAGAAGTGGCCTTCATGAAGGTTACTGACCTTGAGGAGCAGAAATACAGACTGTGAGAGCGGAGTCTGGGGAGGAAAGGGGGAGGGGTGCCACAGCGGTGGCGGGGGAGAGTGTCAGGGCAGGAAGTCCGTGGGCTTTAGACAAGGTTTGTCGAGTGGGTTTGCCCTTAAAAATTAGCTGGATTATCGAGGCCAGGGAAGCTGAGGCCTCTTTCTGCCTCAGAACCTCCAGCAGGGAGCTCTGGGCTTCCCTGTGCAAGCCAGGACACCTGGCTATTGGCCACGTTCCAACCTTACCTTGCACACTCGGGTGGGCATAGGCTGCTGGTTGACCGGGTGCCAGTCCAGCTCCTCTGAGTCATGCTGGTCCAGGAAGTAGCCCAGGATCTTGCCACCTCCACAACGCTTGGGGGCTTTCCACCCAATGACCATATCATTTTTCCCACAGCTCAGGAGGGCGAAGTCATATGGGGCAGATGGTGTAGCTACGGGGAGGCAAGGAGGTGAGGGCTGCTGCCTCCTGGGGGAGGCCAGATAGGGCAGTGGGGCCTAAGGGTGCCAACTCTGCCCTGGGGACACTAATTAAGCTGGCATCTTCTACCTGGAGGGCACCTGGGCCTCAGAGCCAGTCAGACTTCACTCCATGGCCTCAGGCCATTGTTACTTCCTTTTCAAAGGAAAGGGTGGTCAGGGTCAGCTCCAGCTACCCTCAATCCCTTGCCTCTGGGATTGGACACCCCCCCGACCACCACCACCAGATGTGGCCTATAAGGTCCTGATGCTCTCCCAGTCCAGGGCTGCCCCCAGAGGCTTGCAGGCTGGACCTGCCCCTTCGCACGTACCCAGCGCCTGCTTGACTCTGATGGGTTCCGTGGCAGCTGAACTCTCGCCGACCCCGGCCTCACTGACTGACCTGACACAGAACTCATACTCCTTCCCTGTCCTCAGCCCAGGAACTGTAAACCTGGGAAAGAAATGTGTAGTCTTCAGGGATGGCCAAACAGCTTGCAGACATTCCTGAACTTTCTATAACAAACCTTGTGGGGTAAGTGGCCACCAGTGGGGTAGATTTTAAGAGTTCTGGGCCAGTTCTTACCTGAAGATATTGCCCCTATTCCCCAAATGATGCCTGTTTCCTGGAGGATGAAGTCCTTAAGATTTTAAACGTTGGAGGAAGGTGGTCAAAGGTACAAACTTCTAGTTATGAGATAAACAAGCACTGGGATATAAGGTAGAACAGGATGACTAGAGCCAACTCTGCTGTGTGACATATAGGTAAGCTGTTCAGAGAGTAGAACTTAAGAGTTCTCATCACAAGGATAAATTATTTTTCTTTTCTTTTTATTGTATCTATGTGAGATGATGGAGGCGAACTAAACCTACTGTGGCAATATTCACAATATATGTAAGTCAAGCCTATACACCTGTCATGCCGTAAACCTTAAACTTACAATAGTGATGTGTGTCAATTATTTCCCAATAAAACTAGAAAAAAAAGCATTTTAAAGGATGTGGTCTTCTAGAGCCCACCCCTAAAATGGGAATATACTGGGAAGGTAGCCAACCCCTGAACTCGGCTCCCTGGGACATCCCCAGGACTTCGGGCCTTGTCCTTGAAACTCAACAAGTGGCTCTTATTACCTGTACGAAGGCTGTGACTCCTGAACAGGGAGTCCTTTTAAAGACTCCTAAAGAGAACCATCAGCCAGAGACATGCCAGGACACTCTGGCTTAGAGAAAAATGTCCTTCTCATCCTGTCCCTTCAATAAAACCCAAATTGTGGGCTTCTTTTTCTCTTTCATTTATCAACATTTTCCTGTAGCAGATCTTGTTCTACCAGGAGCTTCTTGTAGCCAGTTGCCCCCAAGGAGCCCTGGGGACTTAAATCAAGTGTAGAGAACTGACACAGCAACAAGCTCTTGCCCAGGGACTTGCACATCTACTGGGGAACATGCCCTAACCAGAGGGATGAAGCACCAGGGGTGTGATGCTCAGGAGCTCCTGAGGAGGTGAGGTTGGGGGTGACTCCCCAGACCAGCCCCTGTTGATGACAGATAATGACAGTGACAGTAAGGATGATAGTGATAGTATGCACTTGTTTAGCACTGACTCTGTGTAATACTAGCTGTGCAAACTCAGGCACTCGTCGCAACACCCTCTGAGGAAGGTACCATTAATTACTCCTGCTTTGGAGATGAGGATGGGGTTGAGCATTGGAATGTTGGAGGGGCCCTTAGGGATCAAATTTTCTTCATTTTACAGGTGGCGAAGGGCTCCCCCAGAAAGAAAGAGGTGCGCCAGGACACACAGCCAATTAGGAACACAGCTTGGACAACAGCCCAGGTCTCCCGAGCCCCCACACAGCACCAGCCATCCGTTATCCATCCATCCATCCATCCATTGATCCATTCATTCAGACATTTTTTGAGCACCTCCTGTGAGCCTGGCTCTGTGGGGCCCATGACATGGCAGGGAACCAGGGCACCACAGCCCAGCTGGGCTCCCTTTATGCCATCACCCTGGTGACATGGCAGGGCAGCAGGGTTTGGCCTCTTTCCAGCCATCACGCAGGTACCTGATGACGTGCACATGTGTAATGAGTTATCCAGACATACCAGGGGAATATGTCACCTCCCTGCCTCCTCCCATGAGTGACATGTGCCCCAGACTGCCACACCTTCATCTGACTCTCCTATAACCTCTGCCCTGCACATTAAATGACAATTTGGGGGAGAGATGATATTCTGGGGACAACTGGGGCTTCTAGCTCATTTGCCAAAAACCCAATTATTTTCCAGCTTGGGAACTTCAGCAGTAACGAATTATGAGTGACCCCTCACAGCTGATGGTGAGGTGGGGCTCAAAGTCCTGTCCCTATTTCTAGGTAAGATGATCTTGGGGCTCAGGGCCCAGGGTGAGGGGAGCCCAGCCAGGTGTGCACAGGGTCTGGCCAGTCACCCAGTGGAAAGGGCGGGGAGGGGTGTCGCCTCCTAGCCCCTTAGTAAGGAGCCTCAGCAGTGAGAGAAGTTGTGAGCCCAGAAGCCCCGAGGCTCAATGTGCCCGCAAGGACCAGGGCTGCCCAGTGAGGAGGCAGCCTCAGAGGGGAGTGGGGGTTGAAAGGCCAGGGGACAGGGTCTGGCCCCATCAGCCACTTTACAGAGGAGGGAACTGAGGTTCAGAAGGGCAGTCTCTGTGCAGGGGCACTGGGCAAGCAAGGGGTGGGTGCAGAGGCTGGACCCAGGCCTCCCTACGGCACTCTCTGCCTCTCTCTGTGTCAGCTCCTTGGGGGAATGAGAGCTAGTCAGCCACCTCTGTCTGCAAGCAGCGTGCCCTCAGCAAGTGTTTGCCGAAAAGAGGCCCTCCGGGCAAGTCCCAGTTTCCCCTAGATACTAGGGGAGTTTCAGCAAGCTATTTAACCGCTCTGTGCCTCAGTTTCTTCATCTGCACAATTATAATAAAAATAATATAATAAACATCAATAATAAGCCCATACATTGCAGTTAAAACTAAATGACCTAATATATGAAAAGAGCTTAGAACAATGCTCAGTGCCCAGTACCGCAGTGTGAAATGGGAGGCTTCGTGATTATTCCGGCCCCTCCTTTGAGGATGCGCCTGGGCAGGGCCGGGTCGGGCAAACTCACTTGTTGTCCTGGATAGGTTTGTTGTTAACTGTTTGCCACTCAGATGATCCCGCCGGCCGTGAGTAAATGTAGTAACCTAGGAGCTCAGGACCGCCTTCCACTGCATCCCAGGTCAGGGACACAGAGGTCTGTGTATCTCGGAAAGCTTGAACTTGAGCTGGAGGAGGGAGAGTAGCTAAAAACAGAGACATGGGATCAGTAAGGACGCTGAGTCACAGCAGGCTGGGGAGGGGAGGGGTGTGGGGGGAAGCAGGGAGGAGCCCTCACCGCAATCAAAGGTGACATGGGGATTTCAGGTCCGCCCTGGGGTTTGCGCAGCTCTTTCCCAGGCCCACAGGTATGTCCCAGACTTACATTCTAAAGTCCTCTCCCTGCTTACGTCCAAATATCTCTGCTTCCTCACTAAAGCCTCCAATAATTAATCCTTACAATCTCTCTTTCTCTAGGAAATCACCAGATCTGAGAGTTTTCCACAGTCTTTATATTCAATCTTTAGAAAGTCTGATTTTCTTTCCTTGAAACTTCTCTATTGACTTTCATGACTCCCTGAGACAAAGCTCCCTGAGGTAGGGCCTGCCATGATGTGTTAACGGACAGATGGATGGGTTGGTGGATTGGTGGATTGGTGGATGGATGGTTAGATGAATGGATGAATAGATGGACTGATGGATGAATGGATGGACAAATGGATGGGTGAATGGATGGATGGATGAATGGATGGACAAATGGATGAATGGACAAATGGATAGACAGACGAATGGATGGATGAATGGACAAATGGATGGGTGGATGAATGGACAGATGGGTGGATGCCAAGATGGATGGATGAATGGATAGATAAATAGAAGAATGGGTGGATAGGTGGATAGATGAATGAACAGGTAGACAAATGGACATATGGAAAGATGGATGAATGGATGGATGGACAGACAGACGAATGGGTGGGTAGACAGAAGGAAAGATGGATGCATGGATGAATGGATGGATGGCAGGTGCAGGATCTTCCTTCACTCTTTATTTCTCAGACTCCTATCTTTGGTGCTCATCTTCTTTAATCTCCCCTTGTGGGATTCCTCCAAGCTTCTGCTCCTTAACTTGCTCCATTTTTAACCTCTCCTCTCATCTTGAGGGCCTGCCCGTTCCCATGCCTTCAACCTTCCCCCTCTGCAGGTGTTTCACCAGACTTTACCTCCAGCCCTGCCCTCCTTCTGAATTCTGGACGTTCATCTTCCATTTCCCCTGGACCCCTCCCTGTGTTCTGGTGGTGCCTCCAAATCAACAGGAAAGGCTGAACTCAGCATTTGTCCCACATAAATCTAATATTTATTGAGTGTCTACTCTCTAAGACAGTGGCGGTACTGAGAAATAGCCTGGAGGTCCTGGTCTCAGGAATATCTTGCCAACAACTTCAGCTTCTTAGATTGAAGACCTGTGGCAGTGGGTGAAGACTGGGTGGGAAGGAGAGGCTGGAAGGAGGCCATGTAAGGAGCCCCTGTGCACAAGAGACCTGATTCTACCCAAAGACAAGAACTTGAGCTGAGGGTATCCATGGTATGAAGTAGTCCTCAGATATAAAAATTATGATTGCAAGGAAGATTTCATGACCTGGAGAAATGTTTGCGATATAATGTCAATTTTTAAAAGCAGAATGCAAAGCTCTACACATGGTCTGGTCATACTTTGAGAAAGATGCACTGATACATGTGTGGTCAAAAGGCTGGATGCCAGGCACCTCGGTGCTCACGGTGGTCAACCCTGAGCAGGGGGGCCATGGGGTGGGGCACTCGTTTCTCTGGCTTCCCTTCCTTCTTTCCGTCCATACCGCTCTCTCCCCTCCTCCTTCCTTCTCTTTCTTTCGCTTTTGAGTTTTCTTTTGTATTTTCCCATTTTTGTATAATTGTACTTCTTTGATACAAGTAAGTGTCTTTTCTTTTTCCTCCCCTCCCCTCTCCTCTGTTTTCTTTTCTGAATTGGACTAGAACCTTGCCCGAGGGCGGCCTCGTGGTCCAGAGACTGCCCACACCCAGTCACCAACGGCTCACTGGCCAGCCCTGGGTCACTCTAAATGTTAACCAGACCAGAATCAAAGAACAACACCATTTGCCCACCAACCCATTTATAGTTTCTATGGATATATATATATATTTAAAATATATTTTTTCCCTTAAATTACAAATCTAGGACTTTGAGACCTTCCCCAATGGGCCCTGCAGCACATCAGGCTTTTCTTGGACTGGCTTCCTTAAAGGGCTAGTTGCTGATGACAGCTGCACAGGGAACCTTCTCACCTGGTCTTATCAAAAACAGAAAGAGCCCCAGAATCCAGAGACCTCAGAGGAGGGAGGGAGCTCGGGACCAGGACAGAGCCGTGGCTCAGAATCTCAGGAAGCAGCTGGAGGTGGGAGAAGGAACGAGGCCTTCAGAACAATGGGTTTGGCAGGTGAGGACACCAAGATCTGCGGCTTGGAAATGACTTGCTCAGGCTCACGCTGTGCTGCCGATCAGCGGTGCCCAGCCTGGTGAGCCAGAGTTTGGGGTGGGTCAGCTCACCACCACCAGGCTCACCGCTGGCAGCCCGAGGCAGGCTCGGGCGCTGGTCAGACACTGTTACAGCTAAGGGGCCACTTGCTCACTCTTGGCTCCTGTGCTGGACCAGCTGATTCTGCAACCTGTGAATTGATAATCTGGAAAAATGTCCATACTTTCCAGAGCCTTCTGCCCAGAGAAATGTGACTCTGATGTCCTAAAACTTTATAGGCCTAAGATCCTGTGGCTCCTCACCTTCATGATGGGTAGGAAGGGTCAGGGGTGGGGAAACGGACATAGCTCTTTCCCTGCAGCCATGGGGTGCTGGGCCCTGGATGCTGACAGCCTGATCTGGCCTGTCCTCAGGTCCTGTCCTGCATCACATGGGTACCTGGCTTCCCCTTCAAGGTGATGGGCTCGCTGGGCTCCGAGGGGTCACTCATGCCGTACTGGTTTATTGCTCGCACTCTGAAGACGTATGACTTCCCTTTCTCCAGATCCAAAAGGGCGAATTTTGGGGACTTCACAGGAGTTTCTGAGCGGATGGCCTCCCAGGTGCCACTACCTGTGACTGACTGTGACAAAGGAGAGAGACTTGCATTGGTTAAGCGGCTGCCTGGGCCCAGCTCTGTGCTGGGCGGCTGTCACACCTGCTGCCCTGCCATCTATCCTGGCCCAGGCTGCCCCTGACCCCTGAGCCCTGACTCACCTGTCTCCGTGACACTGCTTCTAGATGCCTGCTGAGCATATCACACTCAGCATGTCTAGAAGTCGGCCCTGGACCTCAGCCCCACACCTGTCCAGTGGGGTCAGAGCCATAAACTCCTTGGAGCCGTCCTTGACTCTTTCCCTTTCCCCTCACATCCCAAATATGCTCCATCGACAAACCCAGCTGGCTCCACCTTCAAAATCTATCCAGACTCCAGCCCTGGCTTACCACCCTCACACCCCCTGCCACAACCTTCTTCCAAGCCACCATCATCTCTCACCTGAGTTATGTTAATAGCTTCCTAACTGGACTGTTCATTTATACGTTTAAGCCATGTCAGTCTTTTCTCCAAATGACACTCAGAGGGGCCTTTACAATGTAAGTCAGATCATGTCCCTGCTTGTCCAGAACCCTCCCACGACCTACATCAACCTCAAGGTGAAAACTTCTCCCTGGCCTGACCCCTGCTACCTGTCTGCCCCCAGCCACTCCCCCTTTGCCCACCCACTGCTCTCTGCCTTTCTGCTGCTCCTTGATGCTCCAGGGCTACTCCTGCCTCTGGGCCTTTGCACATGTTGGTCCATTTGCCCAGAATGTTCTTCCCCTAGAAATTTCTGGCTGGCTCCTTATTTCCTTTAGGCCTTTCTTCAAAACTCACCTTCTCAGGGAGGTCTTCCCAGTACCCCCATCCCCCAGCAGTACCCCCCCCTCCAACCTCCCAGCACTTCAAATCCCCTCCCTGCCTTCTTTGTCCTTACTGATGGCCACTAGTGAACATCCTAAATAGTTTACTGATTTATCCTCTTCATCTTCCATCCCCCAGTGCCTTACTTGAATCTCAGCTCCCGGAGGCAGGGGTTTGTTTTTTATATCCACTGCTGTGTCCCCAGGGCTGAGAACAGCCCTGGCATGTGGGAGGTGCTCAGTCTATGCATGCGAGATGAATAAATGAGTAAATGGATGGATTCTCATAATAACCCAGCAAAGTTGGTGTTAATTTCTGCACCGATGAAGAAACTCAAGTTCAGGGCCTTTTGGTCAATGGGCCACTTCTGCTGAGTGCTGGGTATGGGGGTTGGGGGCGACACTGCCCCTGCCCCTGCCCCTCCTCGCAAGTTCTCCCCTCCCAAGACCCGCCCTCCTGTCAGTGGCCTAGAACCCAGCTAGGCCAGGCAACCGCTGTACAGTGAACACTGCTGAGCACCTCCTATGTGCTGGGTTCTGTTCTCAGTCTTTATGTGCTTTAATTCATCTGATCCTCATATTGATCCTATAAGTGTGTATAATTATTACCTCTGTCTTACAGGAGAAGAAACTGAGGCACAGATAGACTAAATAACTTGCCCAAGGTCACACAGGTAGGCAGTAGCAGAGATAAGATTTGAACCCAGGCAGTCTGACCCTACAGTCTTAACCATTACATGCTTACAAAACAAATCCTCAACTACCTGTGACTTTCTATGTCAGACAAATAGGAACCCTCATGGGTGTGCAAAGAGAGACTCATTTGGACATCCAGAGCCAGTGACTCCTCCCTGGAAATCTTTTATTCATTGATTCACTAAACCTCTACTGTCCAACTATGTGCCAGGCACTATGCTGGGAACAGCGAGAGAAGGGAAACCTGGTGCCTTCCTTTAGGGGCATCAGATACAAGAACATCTCCTTGGGAAGCCTTTACATGCCCAGGGTTTCTGGGGTCTGCATCTGATTTCATCTTCATGTGATAGGTTCTCTAGCCTGTGCTGGAAAAACCGAGATTCAGAGAATGTAGGAAACTGGTTCACACAGCAGAAGTCAGGATTTGAATGGATCCTAACACCATTCTGCCTTTGCTATGCTGCCTCCCCTCGGTCCACATGTGAGCCGCCTCCCGTCCCCAGACACCTGCCCTGACTCTGACCCCAGTGAGAACTGCCTCCTAGTGCTGACCCCACCCCCAGGCCCTGTGGGTCCTGCTGTGACCCTGGCTGGCGGGTACCAGCCTAGCTTCCCTCCCAACGTGGCCCTGGCTTGCCCTGATGTGTGACCTGATGCCAGCCAGACTTGGGGGTGGGGAGGCACCCAGGAAATGGTGGATCTTACTGTAATTATCGTCTGTTTCTGAGTTCTGTGTATTTCCATGAACAGGCTCAGGAAATGCCATCAGTAGCTGGCCTCTCAGGCTGGGGTAACCTCTAAAGGTCATTTCATCTATCCCCCTGCCTCCAAGTAGGGCTATCTTCAGGCCCTTCCAGGGATCCTCTTCTATTCTCTGAAGGTCTCCGAGGGGGACACTGCCTGGGGCTTCTATGTGCTTCCTTGAACTACTCCACGCTCCCAGCACCACAACATGCCCATTTTTCAGGCTAGCCTGGGACTGGGGCCCTTGGGTCTCCGTACCTTCTCCAGGGAATATGTCAATGGGGCTTTGCCCCGGGGACGCGGCTCCTCCCAGCCCAGAACCACATAGGCCTCACGGATCTCGCTGGCATGGACATTGGTCGGAGGTGAGGGGATGGTCACAAAATCTGGAATAAGAGTCATCCGGGGGCAGAGATGGATGGCCCCTCAGAGGCCCCTCATTTCATAGAGGAGGGACCTTGGGCCAGAGAATGGCAGGAAGTTGCTTCAGGTCACCCAACAAGGCCAGGCAGAGCCGGGCCAGAACCCCAGTCTCCCTTGGACTTTCCCCAACACGCTGCCTCCTCTGTGAGGGCCACAGCAAGATGGGCCACAGCCACCCAAGAACCCTGTCCCTGTCTGACTGGACTTAAGCCGCCCTCACCGCCCCGCACCCTGCATGTGGATGACTCCTGCCTCTTTGCCAATTTGTGTCCCAGAGTTTCCAGACCAGTAAAGGAGGTTAGAATCTTGAGGCAAATTGTCAGAAGGTTCACATACCTTCAAATTCATCTGTGCTGACCGTGATCTTCCTTCCCAGATCAAAGGAGATCTCTAGGGTGGAGAAAGGAGCACGTGGGGGGAGAAGTAGGAGGTACAGGGTGTGTGGGAGGCGGGGTCAGGAGGGGTCTGGGCAGCGCCGGTTCTCCCCTCTCCCCAGGCAGGTCCTCTCTGGGCCCCAGGATTCTCAGGGCTCCAAAGTGGAACACAGCTGCTGTAGATCCTGTGAGATGCTCTGTCCTCTTGGGACAAACGGGGACAGAGAGAAGTGACACACCCAGGGTCAGATACCTAGGGCACCGCGGGGCTGGGAGGCAGGCCCAAGTCAGGGCGACTTCTCAGGGCTGAGAGGGCCGGGTCCCCCCACTTCCTCCTGGGCTTGGGGCCCCTGAGGCAGGGTTGTTTTCCTCAGTCAGATGAACTACATCTGAAGAAGCTCCTGCAGCCC